TATGTGATGGGTTATCCCACTCCAAAACTGTGAAAAGCCAAACCACACCATCAAGCAGCATATTGAATGGCTGAAGAAAATCAGCTATGAAACTGCATATCTGCATGGTGATGGTGAGTTCTTCAAGAACTATCAAGATTGGCCTGGCATTGTAACCGAGCCATCTACCCCATATTCACCCTGGCAGAACAGCGTTAGTGAACACAGAATCCAGATCATTTTGGAAAGGACCAGAGCAGTCCTATACACCTCTGGCTTACCACACTGATTTTGGCTAGAAGCCTTGATGGACACCATTCAAAAGGCCAATTATCTCCTGACATCAACCCCTTTATTCAATGACCTGACACTGAACGGCAATATTTTGAATGAAGACATCAAGAAACCACCCTTTTATATCCCTGCAGAAGCATGGGAGAACTGCCCAATGGATATCTCCTATTTACATCCTTTTGGAACAAGAATCTGGTATCATCAACATGGTACTGAGAAACCAACTGACAAAATGGACACCCACAGAGTGTATGGCCTACTCCTGGGCCATATAGCCAGCAATATCACAATGGTATGGAATCTAGAGAAAGATAGTATCATCAATGTGCCTGATGGACACATGGATGAGGGGCAAATCTCACTTACTGATCCAACATTCACCCCTCAACTGACTTCACCCACTACCTCAACCAATAGTGAGATGACCACCCAACCTTATTTTGATGACACCCCAGACAACATCATATCTCATCCAGCAAAAGGTTTTGCTGCATATATAGTTGGAGCAATCTCATGTGACATACCAAAGACCTTGAGGCGCGCTATGGACTGAGATGACAAAGATAGATGGCAATGTGTGATGGAAAAGGAATTTTCAAAACTGCAGAGCAAAGAGATATTTGAATTAGTCCAGATCAGCAATGTGCCCAAAAACAAGTGCATATTCCCTGGCAAATGGGTGTATGACAGCAAAGAGGACTATTCATCCACTGATGAATGCTCATACAAATAGAGTGTCATTCCCATCCCGCAATTCCCGTTCCCGAACCCTTCCCATCCCGCATAGGGTCGGGAATTGGGACCAATGCCCAATTCCCGCAGTGGGAAAGGGAGTAATTGGGAATTCCCGCAGTTCCCGTTTACTCCCATAGGGATGGGTCGGGTTGGGAAATGTGGGAAATGGGAGTGGTTCATATTCCCGAATTTCCCATTACATACTATTACAATACTTAATCCAACCATGGTTAGAATATAGTACGCAGTCTAACTGTCCGGCGCGAGAAGCTGAGAATTCTGCAAATAATTATTTAATTTTCCGCGACACATGTCAGAACAGACAAAGTCATCACAAAACAAAATATTGTTCTTCATATGTAATAATCTATCTAATTATTTAACAGTCTATCTTCCATTGTTAAGATTCCGGTAATGGCCAGGTTCATGTTGAGTGGTTGTTGTCCGACGTGGGCGTACACTAGAGTCTGCAGTCAGGTCGCTGTGTGCTAGCTGAGAGTTGCTGCTCAGGGGTACTCGAGTAATGGAAACAGCAGGCTGTGCAGGAAAATCCTCATTCTCGTCCTCATTTTCATCATCCTCCTCTTCATCAAATCCATCAGCATCCTCTACATCACTGATCCATAGCTCTGGAACAATCTCATCTGCCTTGCTTGACACACTGTTATACTCTTCCCCTTCAGATTGAAATTGAAATTCCTTTTTCATTTCAAATCGGTCCACACACATTTGAAGCATAATGGCTTCAATCATCTCTGGTGCCAAACGGTTTCGTTGGTAATGGCAAACATCGCGAGCAACACTGAAGAGATTTTCCACACCAACCCCACTGACTGGGACTGAAAAAAAATCTTGAACCATGCGACTGAGGACTGGGAAGCGACCAGAATTCTCACGCCACCAAGCCAAAACATCTGGAGTACCTGCTGCAACAAGCACTGAATTTAACCATGGTTAGATTTTTCTAGAAAAGAAACATGCAAAGTCATTTCACTTACCATTCTCATCCAGATATCTCTGAAGTTCTCCGAATTGCCGACCAGGTGTGTTTTGATGCTGACTTGGTGACAGCCGGCGACGTTTAGAGTGGTGCCGCGCCCAGTCCAAACCACTGAGTTGCAATGGTTGATAAGGCTCTTCCTCAGTAGCTGGAAAACGATCAGAATAATAAGCAAAAACTTTCTTCATAATCTGAAGATAATGCTCTTCCCATTTTTCAGTATCATCTGCCCATGATGCTGAACAAAATGCGTTGAGTTTTTGGTATGGATCAAGAATGGTTGCAATTGCATAGATCACACCATGCGACCAATAAGTTTTTTCATAATACTGTGTCAACTTTGAATGAGCTGCTTGGAGACCCAAATAAATTTGTTTCTTCCAAGAGCGTCGTTTGTCTTTCACCAGAGCCATTGAATCCTCAAGATGATTGAAAAGTCCATCGTATGCACTATATGCCTACGCCTATTAGATTGTCTGAACTAACCATGGTTAGAACATAGAACAAGATACATACCTGGTGTATTGTTGCACCACGATGCTCAGACAAAGCAGATGTCCACAAATAAAAATCATAGAGCAACTGAAGGAGGTATTCAATATGATGCCATTCATGTTCTTCCAGCAATAAGTCTGAGATATCATCTTCACTTAATGTGATGAATCGTTTGATTGCACTTTTCAAAAGACGTGCACGGCGCAACATAATATATGTTGAATTCCATCGAGTCTTGCAGTCAAGGAGGAGCATAAGTGACCCTTGCTTGGGGAAAACTGAATCAGGCAAATTGGAAGTGAAATTCTGGGCTTGGAAGAAAAGCTCACGACGCTGGGGGCTTGCATTTATGTAGCAAACACTTTTTTGAACCTAGTGATGCACAATACATATTAGAAAATCATCTAATTAAATGATATCAATGAACAATACCTTCTCCAGTGTCTGTACAAGACCTTGTTCTTTTATCTGCTTGTCATTGCTGTCCCACTGGATCAGCACATCATCATTTTTTGCCTGGATCTTGAGTTGTTTCAGGAATGCAGTAACAGATAATTGAATGACATGGGTCAGACAGGGTAAATGATGTGGCATGTCAAACAACCGCTGGAAATCAGGATCATGGACTTGAAACTGGAAGTCATTATGGCTAAGTGCTTGGTGTAATGAGTTTTGTAGGTCAGAATTGGTGATCTGAAGTAAGTGATCAGTTAAGTGTGAAAACATTGTGCCGTTGTTTCCAGCCTAAGCCATATTGTATTAGCAATCCATATCCAGAACCCATCTAACCAAGGTTAGAAGTTAGATTTAACTTACATTGTCTGTTGTGATACCAAGCACTTGATAAAGTAGATTGTATTTCTTCAACACATTTAACAGAGTTAATGCAAGTCGCTCACCAGTATGGGCACCTGAAATTGGAATAAAACCAAGCAATACTTCATGAAAATGAAAGTCTTCAGTAATGAAGTAGCCTGTAATAGCCATAAATGGTTTTTGGTCTGGGCTAGTCCAACAATCCAAGGCAATTGAGATCCTTCCACTCTCTGGGAATGCTTCCATGATTGTAGTCTGGGAAGATTCTGCACGCTCCATAAGACGTTCCTTGATTCGATTTCGATTTGGGAAGGCAAGCTTGACAGAAGGACTTGCAACAAGATTCAGAAGGCGCTGGAAATGTATTTGTTCAACAACATGAAATGGGAGACAAGCAGAAACTATAAAGTCCACACACTGGTCCTCAAGGGCCTCCCGAGAATATGAGCAAGACTCTCCAGTATGTTTCCACTGTTAGCTAAGTTTTATAACCATGGTTAGATTGACACAACATACAGAGCTTTTCCTTGAAAAAAAGGCATCAACCTTTTGATTGCTTTTATTTTTTGAAGGGTCATTATTGAATGAGCACCGCTTGCTTTGCGTATGCATATGGAGTCCCTTAGTCCCATGCCATTCAGGGACTGGATGTTGCATAATTGCCTGACAACTCTTGCAACAGACCTGAGCGTTACCAGATGTTAAGAGAGCTGCCTCAAAAAAACAATCCCATATAGGCGACCGCCGAGTCTCAGTCCTCCAAGGTTCAGGCAACTTTCTTTGCCGTGACTTTTAAGCAGCTGAAGTAAGACTCCACCAATTCCAGAATTCTTCCACAGCTTCTGTGAAGAAATTCATATCATCAAACTCAGTGACTTCTGGGTACTTTACCAGTTTCTTTGCTCCTCTGTTGATAATTTTTAGGAGAGGGTAACCACTTATATCTGGAGGATGTTGAGAAGTGGTCTGATTGTTCTCTTGGCTGGAGGATTGTGTCCATATTGGACTTGAGGGACAAGGGGTAGAAGAGAACGAGGATGAAGGCAAACATGTTGATGAGAAACGTTGTTGTTGTTCAGGTTGTCTTAGTATAGAGGATTCGGATTCATGATGAGATCCATGAAAAGACATTGTAGGAACAGTATAATAAAATAGATTAATGAAAGAAAGTGAGGAAAAACATACGAATTTCTAACCATGGTCAGATTAAGATATGTAAATTTTCAATTTCCTTAAATAAACTATAAAAATTTCCTGGGTATTATGTTCCGTTACATCATGAAAAATCCCAAACACCAAATACCACTCAATAGAACTCCAATTCTCCGAAGACCCAATTGATGTTCAGTCACTCAATAACCTGGGTGTCTCCACTTTTCTCTCCTGAACGTTCCTGCTGAGTTCCACTATGAGTAGTCTGTTCTGATTTGTCTGCAGTGTCCTCAGTTCCTGGTTTACTGGTTAGTAGATATTCTAACCGTGGTTAGATTATAATGATCAGTGATACATACCACGTTTGCGTTTGCCAATTGGAGGATTCTTGACAAGAGTGTTTTTGGCAATGGATTTGTTGTGCTCAGCTAGTCGAGCGTGAAGTTCATTTTCACGAGATGAGTAGTCTGCAGGACGGTTGGCTATGAACCCAGGTTTTCAAATGTGTGGAGTGCTTGACTTCGGCAGGAGATGCTTGTTAAGTGAGAATTTGCTCAAGTCTTCCTGTTGATCATCAAGATCTACTTCAAAATTGTGCTTAATCAAGACCGAGGCGCAGTCACGAAGGACCATGACTGCATTATCCCATTCAGTCTAATCCACACAGTCAGCATATACCATACCATATAAAATTACGATCTACTCACATCTGAAGTCAAGAGTCCATCTGGCCGTCCTCTACCACCTGCAAAACCCCAGAGAACTGTATTCATCATGTGCCCTTTGAGCACACGGTAATGCCATAATGCCCCAAAAAGTTCAGCTTCTTCAATGAGGCCAGACTTTGTTGTTTTGTCTTTCAGGATAGAGCGTGTTTTGAGTAAGAGCTGATTTTTCTCAAGATTGGACTGCGAGATGAGCAGACCCCAAGGAAGACATGGTGAGTGCAATGATTCCTATAGTAGGTTAGCTAGTCAAAAAATAGAAAAGGATCTGCACCATTCACATACAAGATACGCGAGGTCATTGTACTTGGCCATTTGGTTTGTCAGAATAGGCCCACACATCTCCACTACAAGAGAAACAACACGTCCCCAGTGCAGATGACCAAACCGATGAAAATACTCATCAGAGAGGCCTGGTTCATCTGGCTTTCTTTTCAGTGATGCAGGTGGCGCTGCAAGCTGCAACCACATTAGTGATGTGTACTTTAACCATGGTTAGATTAAGTGTTATTTCCTTACCAGTGATTCGTTTGAAGAGTCTTGCCATATTTGATCATTCTGGATCTGTTCTTTGAGTCGTTCAATGAACTCCTGAGCTTGTGCATTTCTGTTCTCAACAACATCTGGGAACAGAAGTGTCTCGAGTTCAGTTTCCCAGAGAAACTCTTTGTATCGTTGCGAAGCAGGAGCCGGATAAACCCAGTCAGGCTTGACCCAGCATGCAATATGAACTAGAACTTTTCTCATTTTGACAATCACGTCGCGCTCAAAGACATACCAATTATGCCTTCAGCCAATCAGCATGAATATCCTAACCATGGTTAGAGTAAATGAAGACTTACCATGTAGGGCATGGAAGATTGCGATATTCACGAAGTTTCTGATATATGGTGCAATACGACTCATCACCAAAGGCAAGGAGGAAGTTTGGACGACGAGAATGAAATTCATACTGTTTTGTTTGGAACGGTTGACTGAGAGCCGGCAGTGGAGTATCATCAATTCGCCAGGGTGCCCAGCGAATGGAACTTCCATTAAAATAATCATCGCGAGTAGGGAAGAAGAGCAAACGAAGTGGATACTCAGGTCAACCAGTCTCAAGATCCAGAATCATCTTCCAATCATCGTAGGAAAGCTGTCAATATGATTCACCGAAAATGTTGGTGCTGAAGTCAAGGAACTCATGGATTTTTGGAATCCAGATCTAACCATGGTTAGGATTTTAGTATGATGTAATATTACTGAAAATATTTTCACTTACACAATCGAGTTTTGATTGGATGATTTTTGTTGCAAGACTCCAAGCAAAATTACATTCACCGTACCGAGTGAGGCAAAACTGCAAGAAGAGAGATCGAAATGTATCATGTTGGAGGATTGATAGGATACATGCTGTGTGCTGGATGTTGACACCAAAGACATTTTGGAGCCAGTCAGAAAGTTTCGTCTGGGTGAGTATCTCATGACGTTGTCCAACTGGGATGCACTCAAAGCGGCTGATTATTATCTGCGCATTAAAACCCTCACTGTTGGCCTGGTATAAGCCTTCTGGATTTGCAGCAAGTGCAGTCTGCACTTCCTCTGACATCATGTCCTGCGCAAAAACATCAACTCCCCAGAAGTATTGCTATTATAAAGTGATTAGTCCTATAAATTTCACTGACTTATGTGAGAAACCCACTTCAGCTGTTGGTGCAGCAATCCTTGCCCCATTTGAATCTTCTGCTTCCTGGTTGGCCAAAGATTGTGCATCCTCCAAAAGCGACAGAAGTGCCATTATACGATGCTGTCCATTTACCAAGGACATGGTGACATTAGGTGGGAGTGATCTGAGGCTGACCATATCCTTCTATAGATTTATCATTGTTAGCTCGTTCTAACCATGGTCAGAATATAAGTTAAAATTAATATACCAGTTGGCTTGTCTTTTGACGTGTCTGCTGCTTGAGTATGTCTCAAGCTTTAGTGTGCTGTGCTGCATCATCATGGTTTTCTGGTAGAGATATTCTTGCAGAGTCAGAGATTAAGCTTTCAAATTCATCTGTGGACATTATGACTTTCAAGCGGTCATCTTGTGCATAGCATCAGGTGCCATGTCGGAATGATTCTTTCAGTTTCTCGCAGAAGTTCTTATCAATGATTCGATTTGGATTACTCCTGTCGATGCATCGAATGTCTACTGCAAAACTGCCAAGGAAGGCATTTGAGATTTCTTCATGAATGCGGTCTTCTTGGACAAGACTGGTCTTCTTCTGGTCATGGTCTTTACTCGCACCGCTAGACGCACCAGACCGAGCACGTTTGCGAGGTGGCATCTTGTCTTTGGAATGTATTCGGAGTGGAGTAGTTGACCTGACTTCTAACCATGGTTAGATTGATGTTCGCTTTCAATCAAGATAGTTACCTACCACTGAGGAGGGAATTCAACTGGGGTTGGGGGGTTGCCAAACTTCTATATGAAACTCGCTTGGGGGGGGGGGGTTGCTGAAATATGCGGTAAAAAAGAGAAGATGGTTAGAACGCCTTGAGAGGAATTTGGGAGGGAATTTATAGATAAGATCCCTTTGTCTGACCTCGCTAAATTGACACTAAGTAGGCGAGGTTCTATTTCTTTTTCTTGCTCCATTCACTTCCTATCATTAGAACCGCGATTGAATTCATCGATGGTGGCCGTTAAATTCATTGTACAAGGCTGACTTTTGATTGGTTGGTCG